CGTTCATTCGCGCAAATTATGAACGATAATAGTCGTTTAATTCGAAACTTTGATCGACGGTAATCAAAGATTTTTTAAAGCGTATATTTAGGTATATAAGTGTAAGGGCTGATTGTGCAAGTTTTTGTACAGGAATCTATAATATAATTTCGAAACTTTCAATCTTAATATTAAAAAAGAAAAAGGGAATTAATTTGTCGAAGCTTGTTAATTTGTTCATTCGCGCAAATTATATATGATAATAGCCGTTTAATTGAAACTTTGATCGACGGTAACGAAAGATTTTTTAAAGCGTATATTTGCAAGCCTCCTGCAACGTGGATAATTTCGAAACTTTTAATCCTTTATCTTATCTTTAAGAAAGAAAAAGAGAATTAATTTGTTAAAGCTTGTTAATTTTTTAAAACGGTATATTTAGATATATAAGAAGGCGTAAGGGCTGAGCATCGTGCAAGCCTCCTGCAACTTGAATAATTTCTTTTAATCTCGATATATCTTTAAGAAAGAAGAGGAAAAAGGGAATTAATTTGTTCATTCGCGCAAATTACGAATGATAATCGATCGATCAATGCGAAAGCGTGTTCAGTTTAATTTAAATTAAGAGATCCTCGGAACAAATCGTTCCAAAATTTCACGATGATAATAAAAAGTAGTATATCAGAATTGTCAATTCGAAAAGTAATTATCGATCAACTTGAAACAACTGGCTGGTAAGAATTATATTTATAACCTCGATAGTCCGTTCTTTTTTTTTTATATATTATCTTATCGTAAAACTTGCAATCTTTCCAGAAGGTGATGTTGGGGAAAAAATTCGTGTACGGTACGTAACTGTACTCGCGCACGCTATCGCGCAAACAGACGTTCGGAGATAAATTTGCAGGGGAAGGGGAGGAGGATTCATCCGTGGCTGGACGGGCAGAACGCGACATATAATCTGGCCAGGTGAAATACAGCTGTCAAATCGTTACATTGTAATTTCATGGTTAATCTGTTACGAGCTTTTTTTCCCCCCTCCCCCCTCCCTTCCCTCCTGTTTCCTTTGTGCTTCACGGCACCGCGCGAAACCCTGCACAGGCACCGTTCCTCTTTTCCGTTGTTTTTAATATCGAATCCCGTACGATCTCTCCTCTTCCTCAACGCGGTTGCGCAAAATCATGGGTACGCAATTTACGGTTTCGTCCTTTCTTCGAAGAGCGAGGATGCGCGCCGCAAGAGGCTTCGTAATTTCCGCTTAATCCTTACCTTCCAACGTGAAAATGTCTCCATCGGAGTGCCTGATGACCGAAAGCTCTTGACAACGAACAAACTCGAGAACGTTCAAGATGCCCGCGAGGACGAGGACTAGAAGACGCATCTTCTCCGCTGCATTCTGGAACAAAGTGGAGCGAATTATTGCAATTCTTTTTTTCACGTTGTACGCGAGAGAGAGAGTTTTCGAGAGGAGGAACGGTCTAAAGAAGATTGTTTACCTTCGAATATTTAATATCGTCAAAAGCTTTCGTTTCAAAAAAAGAAACTGACTTGTCTTTTTTCTTTTTTCAAGCGTGTAATTGTCACAAGAATCGTCCAAGATTAAGGATCCTCGAGGAACGTATGAATCGATCAAGATATTTCCTTTGAAAAAATTGAACAACTCTGCTCTGCCTCGTTGAATTTTGTTTCGCGATGATGCGTTTAAAGAATATATATATATATATATATATTGTTCTTCAAATGATCACAGTTTTCAAGTTTCGGCCGGATAATTAATCACGAGGATGATTCACATGATTCGGGTTTGGCTTTTGAAGGCGTAATCGCTCGAAATTAAAGTAATTACAAGGTTCGGGATAGAGTCGCGGTACGCCTCCGTTGACTAATATTAATAACGATAATTAATCAGCATTAAGAGGTTTGACGATCGAGCGAGTTGCTCCCTCGAGAACTGTTCCCTCGTCGTCTTTTGCAACTGTCCACGACTATTTAGAGATTAATCTCTTCTTCGATAAAGACTGTGCGCGCGGAGGGACTCCTCGCGCCGTTAAATCGTCGGCTGTCGGCGATTTTGCCCTGATAAAAAAATCACCCATGGTTCATCCGTTGGCAAATGTTAACCATTTGCTACATCGAGAATATTCTTCTGGTATCGTGGTGTTATAAACGGAAGTTCATTAGAAAGATTAATTTGTAAGAAACTTTTAAAGAAAAGAATATCATCGAATATAACTCGTTTCGATTTCGTTCGTTATATTTTTATTTCAAATAAAATTAATAATAAAATTAACAAATAATAAAATTTATTTTAATCATCATATATTTTTGCATTTGGAAAGGAAAGTAAAATTGTTTTAAAAACGGAGAAAAATAATAAAAAAAATCGCTGTTAATTAAAAAAGAAATGGAGATAAAATTTTTCCTCCATCTCGTTTTTCCTCATAGTCACAGAGAGTCAATAATATCTCCCCTAATATGACGGATCTTTGCGAAATTACTGTACTTGTATGGCAGCCTGTCCAGCGAGATATGCTGCTTCGGTGGTCGAAAAAAAAAAAAAAAGAAAAAAGAAAAGAAGAGAAAAAAAGCAAAAGATCGAGGAAGAATGTTGCAACGAGGTTGAAGGATCGCATCCCACCGCGTTTACGGTAAACTACGGGTGCACGAGGCGGGCATAAATTACACGTTCGATGCATGTCGCGAGCCGCGCATCAGCGCAACGTCGTGTGTCCAACGTTATGCACAATCGAGCCGATGGCACGCGTGAGATAAGGAGGGAACGATAATGGGAAAACGGCGTAAGAAGCGGCATAAGAAGAATTCCTCTCGATAAGAAAAACTCTTTTTCATACATTTGGCCGGATGCCGAGGATATCCGATCAAACCTCGATCTCGAACGATCTTCCTAGAAATGGTGAATGGTGGAAAAAGAAGGAATGTTTTTTTTTTTCCCCCCCCTCTCCTCTTCTCGCTGCTACTTTATAACATCGAATCAGCGGTTCTCAAAACGCACCGCGGATCGTCGCGATAAAACTATTTTTCAAAAGTTCGTCGTATCTTTCTTACGATCGATCGATCTCACGCAGCTCGAAATTTTTCGTATTTTTCGTAATTAACGAAGAAAAATAGATCGAGAGAATTGCGAGGAATTGAGAGTTAAATTAGTTAAATTAGGAATGTATATTATAGTTGAAAGGAAAAAAAAGGGGTGGTTGGATGAAGTAGCAGATGGCACTGGTACTGACAAAGGTATAAGAGGGTTTGATCCATCGTGTTGTATATACATATATATATATATCGAGCCTTATACCTTTCTTGGGGACACGGATGCTCCTCACGATCAAATTTAAATAGTTTGCGGGTAAAAAAGAAGTTTGGTCGGATGCTCGATGGTCGTTTGAAGAAACGGGCGCGTTCCTTCACCAATCGTTGTCCTCTCCCTTTTTAATTGCTTCCAAAATGAATAGCTTCTCTCACGGGTATCGCGATACCGGTTCCATCCACGGTTCTTTTTTTTTTTTTTTTTTTTTTTTTAAAACCTTTTCTTCCGTCCCGTACCAAAAATTTACGACGAGACATCTTGACGGACAATTTTTATCTAACTTCCTTTCGATATATCGGCGCGAGATTTAAATCTCGTTTAAAAACCTTAAAGGGGAAACTCGAGTCGGTGATGATAAAATTTCAAGTTAGGGAGACACGTGCGTGATTCGAAAACTTTTGCAGATATTAAAATTTTATCGCGCGTCCTCCGCGAGAAAAAGGATATATTTCCACACTTTATGCACACAATGTTTCGGATTGGTCTCGGTTGAATTGCCAACACGAGAGCCATTATGGTAAAATACGTTTCGGCTTAAGCCCGGAGTTACGCGGATGGCCGCCAGGTCAGAGGGCGTTATTTTACGCGACGGAGAAATTTACAGCCGATGCGTTTTACGTATCGAATGGTAGTTAGCGTGATATTTTTCTTCTCTCCCTCCTTTTTTTTTTTTTTCTTTATCCTCGGAAACGTCCTTCTCGAGCAACGCGAGTTTCATCGAAGGAATCAAAGCCGTCTTCGAAGCCGTACATATCACTTTTAATCGAATCCTCGTGAAAAGGAATCACGAGGAGGATCGAAGCAGTAATATATCTCGGCTAATAAATCAAAATTCGATCCTTCGGGACAGGGATCAATGTTAAACGTGATATTCGATCGAAGTTGGAACACGAAGGCGATCACGATTATTCTCTGAAATGGTGAGGTGGAAGAATGCTGATCTGTTCCTCTCGAGCACGGAGAGGGATATCTTAAACGAGATAATTTATCAAGCTAACAAGCTCGATACTTGTTTCCAAGTCGTATACTTGTATTTAACATTTTAACGTCGCGATTAATCACTGTATATATGTCGTTTTGAATATTGGACTTGGCCGCATAAAAAAAAATGGATCACTCAAGGGAACGTATTATTTAGAGCATCGGGAGGGGGAGGGAGACGGCTATTCGAAAATAAGCGCTCGTTACGCATTGCGCATCGTGTAAGATGCAAATCCTTTTTTTTTTTTTTTTTTTTTTTTTTTTTTTTTTTCTTTTTCTTTTTTTCTTCCTTTTCTTTTTTTCGTATCAACGTAGCTCGGTTTAAAGCCGCAACGGCGAAAAAGGTAAATTGAGGGTGTTCGATTTAATGCCCGTCCAGTTAACGGCTCCGTATAATTAGTTTCGTCGGACAAATTATACTTTTCATGATTTTCAACGAAACGATTACTTTCTCGTTACGCGATACGTATGGCCAACTTTTCCCCTCCCTTTTCCCTCTTGCTTCGAGATATACCCGGTATATATATATATATAATCGGTCGAGGGATGAAATTTCGACGATCGAAATGTCACAGATTCGATCCTTTGTTCGATTATATCGAAAAAATTACTCGTTATTTTCAATTTTATTAATCGTCGATACTTTCCGCGGTGGATAAGTCGTTTGACGACTTTGCGTGTTCGCGCGATGAATGCGAATTTTGAAATGCCTTTCGTCGAATATAAATATCTCGTTTAAAGCTATTTAAATGCGACATGGAAGGGGTCGAATGGAAGGGGTCGAACAATACTATGTATATATATATATGCGTGTGTAATAATAGAATTTATCTAATATTTTAATATCGGAAACTACTTTCGTTTTTTTCTCTTTTTTATCTCTTTTTTATTGATAAAGTTGAACGCGGAGAGACATTTTTTGAGAATATATATATATATTGAGAAATGAGTTCGTGTTTTGAAATTCAGTTACTCGAGGCTTCGAATTATTTATGACTCGCATAATTCGTGTCGAGGAATGATCGCTCCCGTAAATCATCCAAAAATCAACGTTCTTCGTGAATTTTTTATTATTTTTTCCCCCTCTTCTTCTCCAGGGAATTTTTGATTACACCGCGGGTATTAATAATAATAATAATAATAATTCATTCATTCCCGAAACATCGATTATAGTAAATCTTGAGAAAAACGTTTTATTAAAATTATTATTCACCCATGTTTTTTCCTTTCCCTTCCCCCTTTTAATCAACCAAGGAATCGCGAGTGTGTCCGAGTTTCTTTTCGATTTAATAGCCGCCATTAATCACACGATGATAATTTCTCCCCTGAAATTAATTCGCAACCACCGAATGAATTCGCGACATTGTTACGCAATTAACCTCCTCTCCTCGCAATAAACTCTTTATAAAAACTGCTCGCCGCGCCAATGATATATTCCCCGTTTACAATGCTGGTTTAGTAACGAGGTTACCCTTAATAAATGAATAATTATCACGCCATGATAAATTTATAGGAAGTTGCTCGACGATACTCGAGCCATGCATCAAATATAATCAATCGATTATATTTCAATTATATCCGTGTACCGTTCTCCCGAATCAAGCTTTCTTTCCTTTATTATTAATCTCCCCTCTTCTTGCTCCATGATTTATGGACACGATTTTATAATAATTTCATCATCAACTTTAAGTCATCTTAGAAGATAACTTCCAATCTTGAAATTAACCAATCCTCTTTCTTTCTTTCTTTCTCTCTCTCTCTCGAGAGAGGGAGAGAGGGAGAAAGAGAGAGATGCACCGATTTCTAAAGCAGGGACAATTTAATTTCAAGACGTACGTGGACAAATTGTCCACGATACAAGATAAGAAACGCGTGCAATTAGCCTGCATTTTCACGGACACGCGTCACCCGATCGCGATCGAGCACGTTCGAGCTCGGGCGCGTGCATTTCCGTCTTATAATTTCGAAATTATGCAAAGGGAAAGGGTGAGCGTGGTGGACGAGGAGAGAGGATCGCGGCACGAGATGGTACGTGACCGATTATCGACCGGAATGTCGCGTTCTGTGTCAAGGTGGATGCCGGTAGAGATTGC